GGGTTTCACCATGTTGACCAGGATGGTCTCGATCTCTTGACCTCGTGATCCACCCGCCTCGGCCTCCCAAAGTGCTGGGATTATAGGCGTGAGCCACCGCGCCCGGCTACCTTAATCTTTATTTGAAGAAAGAGAAAGGTGGCTGGGTGCCGTGGCTCACGTCTGTAATCCCAGCACTTTGGGAAGCTGAGGCGGGCAGATCACCTGAGGTCAGGAGTTCGAGACCAGCCTGACCAACATGATGAAACCCCATCTCTACTAAAAATAAATAAAGAGAAAGGTTACTAAATTCAGGTGTCATTGGAGAAGAACTTTGGAATTTGGTAACCCCAGTGATCTACTCTACAAAATTAATGCCATTGGCATAATAGGCTTTCTCATCACTAAAGATGTAAATCCCCAGGATAACGTCCCTCTTAGCCTCCTGTTTGTACAGACAGCCCAGATTCCCAGTAATTGCCTGAGAATGAGGAAGGAGTCAGGAATGAGTCATCCTCTGCCCAAGCAGGTGGCAGTGGGCACACCTGAAGAAACAAGGTCCAGGAGCAATCAGCACAACTTACGACTCCAGAGGAAGGAGTCCAGAGACAGAGCACCATGACTTCTGAGAGAGGTAAAGCGGATCCGGGGGCAAGTACTCTCGAACAGTGCAAGAAGTGTGTGTGCGTGCGTGCGTGCGTGCGTGTGTCCTGCTGATTCTTCCGTCTGTGGGTGTTTTCCAACTTCCCTATTATTGATTCATATATTAATCTTAAATAACATGATTTATTATTATCATTTACTTGTCCAAGTGACTTTAACCAAATGTCAGTAAATCAGTGTTTGTTTTGTAGCAGGATTTTAAAAGGACAGAGAGACCTTTCAGGCTTCAAAAGAATTTTATTAGGTGCACCAGGTCATAGTTAGACTAATGTTTTTAAATGGCTGTGGCCGCAAACCAAGAATTACATGTTATTAATACACTTTAGGGCGGGAAAAACAAGGCAGGGAACAAGTTTTGAGACAAAGCCAGCTAATTTTATTTTGTGACAGTTTTGCAGTCTTGAAAAACATAATTTCTACATGGTTTACCTTGGTCTCATGGCCTTGCAGCTGGGGTAGAGAAAAACAAGGATAGCAGAGGCCAAGCACAGTGGCACACACCTGTAATCCTAGCACTTTGGGAGGCTGAGGCGGGAGGATCACAAGGGCAGGAGTTCAAGACCAACCTAGCCAATATGTTGAAACCCCGTCTCTACTAAAAATATAAAAATTAGCTGGGCTTGGTTGTGGGTGCCTGTAGTCCTAGCTACTTGGGAGGCTAAAACAGGATAATTGCTTGACCCGGGAAGTGGAGGTTGCAGTAAGCCGAGATCACGCCACTGCACTCCAGCCTGGGTGACAGCATGAGACTCTGTCTCAAAAAAAAAAACAACAAGGATAGCAGAACTGTGTGTGGGTAGATACGCCTGGGTGCTTACATTAGCTTCCTTATCTCTAAGGGAGGAGGGAGTTGTACTGGATTTGCTCTTCTTTTACTAACTTTAAGTACAGTTTTATGACTTACTTTGAATGTGTGTGTGTTGCTTGATTAAGCCTGTAGCTGTAGTTGATATAGTTGAGCTGGGAAGGGTTACTTACTTAGCTTAAGTGTGATTTTTCTAGCAACAAATTTTAATCTTTTTTTTTTTTTTTAAAGATGGGGTTTCACCATGATGGCCAGGCTGGTCTTGAACTCCTGACCTCAGGTGATCCACCCACCTCAGCCTCCCAAAGTGCTAGGATTACAGGCGTGAGCCACAGCATCCGGCCACATATTTTAATCTTAACTGTAATTTTCACTTTATTTTATTTTGTTTTCCTCCTCAGTTTCACCATAATAAAAAATTAAGTAGCCTGGTGCAGTGGCTCACGTAATCCACATGCCTCAGCCTCCCAAAGTGCTGGGATTATGAGGCATGAGCCGCCATGTCGGGCCCTCAAAATTAAATAAATAAAAAAATAGTAAAATACAGCTGAGTGCGGTGGCTCATGGCTTGTAATCCCAGCACTTTGGGAGGCCAAGGAGGGTGGATCACTTGAGGCCAGGGGTTTGAGACCAGCCTGGCCAACATAGTGAAACCTTGTCTCTACTAAAAATACAAAAAGTAGCTGGGCATGGTGGTGCATGCCTGTAGTGCTACCTACTTAGGAGGCTGAGGTAGGATGATCGCTTGAACCCGGGAGGCAGAGGTTGCAGTGAGCTGGGATCGTGCCATGGCACTCCAGTCTGGGCAAAGATGAAATCACTGGCTCCTATCCATTTAGGGTGCTCCAGATGAGGTGCCAACTGGAAGCTTGAGATCTCATATGCTTGGACGACTGTTTGATCTCTGGTATTCCTGGTCGTTAGATTAAAAGTGTTAAATTCTGTCTTTTTTCTAGTTTGGGACATCACTGTTGTCCTATTTTTCATCTTTGGGTTCATCTCTGTCTCACAAAAAAATAAAAATAAAAACAAAATATAAAAAAGTTAAATCAAAATACAACTGTTTAAGTAACAGTTGAGGGTAACGACAGACATGATAGCATAAGAACAAGGTACTAATTGATAAATGAGTTGACAATGACAAATTGATAAATCAGTGCACAGTTACTGTTAGAAAAATTCATGGGAGAGGAAGAACATTTCAGGCTGAAGGAAAGAATTTCAGCTGAGGTAGGATTTGAGCTGGATTCTAAGAGAAGCATAGACTTTAAAAAAAACATTTAAGAGACTGGGGTGTGGGTTCACTGCTTTGGCATAAGCCACCATGCCTGACCAAATTTTTTTTTTTTTTGTTTGTTTTTACAATTTGCTCTGTTGCCCAAGCCGGACAGTGGTGCAATCTCCACTCACTGCTGCCTTGACCTGTGCTCAAGAGATCCTCCCCACTCAGCTTCCTGGGTAGCTGGACAACAGGTGTGGGCCAGCAGGCCCTGCTAGTTTTTTGTAGAGACTAGGTCTTGCTTTATTGCCCAGGCTGGTCTTGAACTCCTGGGCTGAAGTGATCCAACAGCCTCGGCCTCCCAAAGTACTGGGATTACAAGTGTAAGCCATCATGCCAGGCCAGAAGGGCAGACTTTGGATTGACAGAAAAGAGGAGATTTTAGGTTGATTGAATCCTACTGATAAACATAATTTAAAAGCTTTTATAGAGACTTGTACCTAGAATATAACGAACAAACTGGTTAGGCTACAAAAAAATTATGTAAACAATGTGAAGTAAGACCAGAAAGCAAATTTGAAGTTTTTGTTAAAACGAGCACTTTGAATGGAGAAACACCCCAAACAGCCTTTGTGTGAGCAGCATGGCTGTTTATTCACCTGGGCGAAGGCGGACTAAGGCTGAAAAGGGCGTTAGCGAAGCGTGATGGAATAGGAGTTGGTTTTACAGGTTGGGGTGGGCAGTGGAAAGTCACAGAGTAAGATCAGTTACAGTGGCGGAGGTAAGAAGTATACATTACCGCAAGTTCAGTTACCATGGTGGGTGACGCAAGAGTAGTTAAGATGGCAGGGCGGGTTTAGAAGCTTAACGTCCTGGGCGATCAGGGATCACGGGGAACACAGGCCGGGGGTGGGGGGTGATCAGCCCAGGCAGGCAGGACTTTAGAGTTTCTGGGTCTGGGCTTGCACATGCAGGCCTGACATACCTGTCTTTTTTTTTTGAGACAGAGTTTCGCTCTTGTTACCCAGGCTGGAGAGCAATGGCGTGATCTCGGCTCACCGCAACCTCCGCCTCCTGGGTTCAGGCAATTCTCCTGCCCCAGCCTCCTGAGTAGCTGGGATTACAGGCACACACCACCATGCCCAGCTAATTTTTTGTATTTTTAGTAGAGACGGGGTTTCACCATGTTGACCAGGATGGTCTCGATCTCTTGACCTCGTGATCCACCCGCCTCGGCCTCCCACAGTGCTGGGATTACAGGCTTGAGCCACCGCGCCCGGCCCATACCTGTCTTTTTATATATAAGAGAAAGAATTAGAGAAGAGGGGATGATAACAGGTTATTGGGGGTGGGGGCAAAAGCTTCTCAAGGCTTCTTTGAGCTGGATTGGGGTGGGAAGAATTTACACTGCTGGGAGATTTCGGGGAAAGGGGTAATATTGTGGGGTTGTTAGGAGGAGCATTTGTGTATTGACTGATTGGTTATTGCTTGTTTTCGATCTTGTAGGAATTGGAAGATTAACTGGAAAAACACAGGGTCCAAATAAGAAAAGGAGATAGATAGTATCAGAGGACTAAGGATTGGAAGAAGCCATGACTCCCAGTGAGAGCGTGTCCAGACAGGTCCAGAAGAGCCATTTGCTTGATGAGTGAGCTTTCGGGCTCTGTTTTTTAATTTACTGATGGCATCAAATTCAAGGCCAGGCTGGTTTACATAAAAACAACGTTCTTCATTTAGGAGTAGGCAAGGACCTTTTTTAGCAGTCAGTAAGTTAAGACCGCTGCAGTTTTGGAAGACAACTGCAGCCAGGAAATTTACGTGAGCTTGAAGGAGGGATAGTGATGGTGTTAATTCTGCAGTGCTAGCAGAGACGTGATTAGAGAGGCCACGGCAGGTGCCGACTGAAGGGGTACGGCGTGCGCGGAGTGCAGTAGTGACTCCTAACCCTACAAGGGAGGGACTCGATGGAATGGCCCGCTTGCGTCGCCTCAGGACCACTAGGGGAACAGGGAGGCTTTTGTCCCCGTTGGTAAAGTCAATTTGGGGAGTCAGGAAACCCAGGGTACAAGTGCCTGTCCAGTTGGTAGGAAGGCAGATTAAGAAGAAGAACTCCAGAGGGAAAAAACAGTCCCTGGCTTAGACAGAACTGGAAGTGTGAACTGAAAAGGTGAGGAAGTGTTCTGACGGGGGTGGGGCTTTGGACCCGAATGCCAGGGGAACCAGCGAGGGCTGTGGCTGCTAAAGGTCGTAGCAGGGTTTGGGGGGATAGCTGTGTGGAGGGAGAGCTTTTGTTTTCATTGTGTATGAGGAAGCGTGTGGTATGTATAAGCAACCGCTCACTTTCGTTAACAAGGTTGGCTATGAGCAGAGAACGGGAGCCAGATTAACAGTGAAATAGGCCGGGCGCAGTGGCTCACGCCTGTAATCCCAGCACTTTGGGAGGCCGAGGCGGGTGGATCACGAGGTCAACAGATCGAGACCATCCTGGTCAACACGGTGAAACCCCGTCTCTACTAAAAATACAAAAAATTAGCTGGGCATGGTGGCGCGTGCCTGTAATCCCAGCTACTCAGGAGGCTGAGGCAGGAGAATTGCCTGAACCCAGGAGGCGGAGGTTGCGGTGAGCCGATATTGTGCCATTGCACTCCAGCCTGGGTAACAAGAGCGAAACTCCGTCTCAAAACAAAACAAAACAAAACAAAACAAAAAAAACCAAACAGTGAAACATTAGCTGGCCGGGCGCGGTGCCTCACGCCTGTAATCCTAGCACTTTGGGAGGCCGAGGTGGGTGGATCACCTGAGGTCAGGAGTTCAAGACCAGCCTGGCCATCATGGTGAAACCCCATCTTCAAAAAAAAAAAAGAGTGAAATATTAGCTGTAATTTCCTGGAGGAAAAGTGTAAACGGGCGACTTAGGCAAAAGCAGGGCACGTAAGAGTACACGAGTATAGCGAATTTGATGACTGGCAGAAATAACAGAA